GAGATCAGGATGGTCTCACGAGGCTAAAGATACATGGCCCAACACAGAACAGTGACCTCCTCGGGAGAATACTCTGCGCTACATTATGGACAAAGGACATTCTTTTGAGGACCAGAATGTTCACATTGTGGACAAAGAAGACAGGGGGATGAGAGGGAAGTGAAGGAAGCCATCTATGTTAAGAAAGAAAAAAAAACCCACCTTAAACGGAGGGGGTGGACTCAGATTTCAGCTTTTATCTCTAGCCCAGTGTTGCTAGGGGGGGCAGAGTTATTGGCATGTTCGACCTAGGAGAGTTGACTGACCCACCTAGTAGACTCACAGAGAATACAGATCTTGGTCTCAACTTGCTGGTTGGCCCTCTCAGTCTGACTGTCTGAAAATTATCCTAAGCTTAACAGATGTTATCAAAATCATAAATCTGTGTTTAGTCACCTATTATCAATCCCGGTCTTGACTGAAGATTGCTTTGGACGTTCTCTGTTCGATGACATAAGATAGAGGCTTGGGCTTGGTGTTGACAGCATCAAAGCAGAGTTTGACCAGGAAGGACGCAAGTCGGCCTCCTCTTTACAAAGAGAACTAGATCCGCTGCCATCTGCAGGCAATGAAGGGAAATTAATTAATTAATTAATTTAATTATTAAATACACAGTAATACATTGCATGGTGCTTGTTCTTTAAATTAATCTATTACCCTTGATGGACCCAATTAATCTGTCATGATCGCAGCCCCGGTAGCTGATCTAATTACTGCTTCATTCACCTGCTGTACCCTCCCGCTGTCTAATTACCATTCATCTTATCCACCTGCTCCTTCTGCTTTTTTATACGGTTCAGCCCAGTTATCGGGGCCAGGATCATTAGCTATTCATGTTTGTCCAATGTGTTTGTTGTTTCGTTAGTTAAGTTTGTGGTTCATGTCCGGACTCCTTGGGGCCTGTGTGTCGAGAGGGTTTAGTGTTCTCCTGTCTCCTGATCATGTTGCGGTTCTTCTCAGCTGAGCTCGTTCTGGTCATGTTTGGCTCAGCATTCAGGTGGGCTCAGGTCCTGGCTCTTCTCCACGGAGCCCTGAGGGGAGTCAGTTTTAAGTCCCATGATCCTGGCTCCTGGTTGGAGCCGGTTTAAAGTTCTGAAGTTTCTCCTGGTACCATGCCTTTTCCTCTCAATCACTAGGCGTGTCTGTCTGACCTCGTTGATGGGCTCATGGAACTCAGAACCTGCCTGGGAACTCTGTGGATTCCTGGAACCCTGGATAGGTCGGTTTCTTTTCGGATCTGGATTCCTGGATCTCAGAACTGTCCAGTTCTGTTCCCTGACATGGATCGGTCTCCTGTCTGCTCACTGGGGTTGCAGCATCAGGGACACTCTGGAAGGCCAGGCTCCGTATCTCGTTGGCAGTCCATCTGCTGGATCCTGCCTCCCTGAGAGGAAGGACTGAACTGTTAATCCTAGTAAGTGTCTCTCACTGATAGTCATCTTCAGTCAGATTATTTTGGTCAATTATGTGTGTTTCTCCCACAGCCAGAGTGCCAGTGACAGTTGTTACCCTGCCTTCCCCCGCTGCCAGTGACGGTTGTTACCCTGCCTTCTCCCGCAGCCGCTGCATGTCCACTGATCCACAGCAGCCGTTTCTGCTCTGTTCCAATTTTGTCTTTTGTCATTAAATGTTTTGAAACTTTCCACTGTCTGTTTGCCTGAATACCGGGTCCATCTGCCCCCTTTTATAACATAACCTTTTAACGTAGCAGACATTTGTCACAAAAGCAGCAAAGTCAACAATAGAAATAGCATTTTTAATCATGGACTTTTATTGCTGAATAGCACCAGTCACACAGAAATGTTTTCTTACCATGTTGTTGTCTGGAAGCCGTTTGTGGATTATGACGCAGCACCGACGGCCGCCTATGTTTATGCTTCAGTATTTCATCCATTCTGCTCCAAAACAAAAGAGAGAGAATTGCTGCCACCATTCATACGGAAAATATTTTATCATTCGTTCATCTTTAGTTTATATTTCATATACTCACAACATATCATGTGAAAATGCCTTGTTCTTGAAACTGGCCAGTTTTGCTTTTATTTCATACATTATAATGAATTTTACAAAACCCATGAGACATATGACGCATTTAAAAAAGTCACATGTCAACATGTCACATGTTGCCCTGCTGGTGACCTGTCCAGGGTGTACCCCACCTTAAGCCCAGGGACTGTCGGAGATAGGCACCAAATGGATGGATGGATGGATGGATGGATGGATGGATGGATGGATGGATGGATGGATGGATGGATGGATGGATGGATGGATGGATGGATGGAGTGTATACAAAACTAATTTTAATGGATACAGGTTTTAAACAGTAAATGAGGAGCTTAGCAGAAAAATTACCATGGCGTATTGGTTACCATGGCAGCATTCCAAGGCACCGTTCAAGAACAGCTCCTCTTGACAAATTCACAAAATATGCCGCTTAAAACTTCAAACTTACTAAGTAGACATCAAACCCGCATCTATGATCACCAATGCCTGCTGGAGCTACGGTCACAACATGTTTTAAATACAGACATTTTTGACAGTTTAAAAAGATGCAGAGTGCTACAGACGGATGTAAACAAGACAACAGCAGAAAATAACGGACGGGGGAAGAGATGCGCAAGACGGAGAAAGCGAGGCTGCAGAGGGGAGCTAACTGTGAAGCTAAAGAGCAATCCTCACAGACCACAGCTTCCATCAATCCTGCTCTCCAGCCTCCGCTCGTTGTAAAAGAAAATGGATAATCTCTGACTCGAGCTCTCTTCAAAAAAGGAGATATGTAACTGCTGTGCCATAATTCTGACAGTGCCTTGGGTGCATCCAGCAATACTGGACGGTGCTGTTGGCCTGGGGGGGCTGATGCTGTACTGCGCCGATAGATAATAAATGAGCTCTGCGTGAATGGAGGCTCCTCTGAGACCGTTCCCAGGCAATCTTTAGCATCTAGAAAGGAAGCACAGCCCTCTGCAGAAGAAAATGAGGAGAGCACTCCTGCCAAATGCTGAACCATCCCAAACCGGCTCCTCCCGGCCCCCTCCGGCTTCCACACTTTCTCCAGCATCGTCTGTCGCTGCTAAACCTGCCAATGGAACCACTGCTGCTTCAACCACGTCAGCCTCTTCAACCCAGGGGGGTACCACCCTCACAGCATCGTCATCATCATCCTCTTCCTCCCCTGAGCCAGGAGAAGCGAGTGCTTCAGGAGCTAGAGGCAGTAGTAGCAGCTCAACAACAACTGAAGTTGAAGTGCAGGAAACGGCTCCCTAATGCTCCAGCATCAGATCCTCTTCCACCAGGGTAAAAAATCCCATTTGGATGCTAAGATCCTATCCAGATCTGTCTGACATAACTGCTGCCAAGCAAACATGAATGATGTGCATTCCATAACTAGATATACAGTATCTAATAAATAAAATGCAATCAAAAATAACTAAAACACAAGAATGGAAATAAGACCAATGAAAACTGAGAGATAAAACTTGAAATTCTCTTTACTATATATATGCTCCCAATCGGTAGAATTATTAGACAGCATGGGATTAATTTCCACTGTTATGCTGATGATACCCAGCT